TCTCTCTCTCTCTCTCTCTCTCTCTCTCTCTCTCTCTCTCTCTCTCTATCTATCTATCTATCTCTATCTATCTCCGTATCATTTTGAGCGTGCAGAAAATTTTGTGAATTAAATCTCGTCTTGAAGAGCAACGGTTTTGATTCTCTTTATTATCTATTACGCCCTGGGAATTCAATGTGGTTTGCCGTTTCTTCATCTTCTTTCATCTTTCAAGTAGCTGGATTTCAAACGGATTTTGCTTCGCTTTTTGTGCGTAACATTCAGTTAGATTAAACAGCTATGTGAAACGCACATAAACATTCAATTAGAATGTAGCGAAACATGTCGTCAGATTGTATTACAGAAATTATCAAATATAATTCGTAGACGGGTGTTTTTGCACGTCATACAATTCTGCGATAAACTTCAAACTCTATATGGAACATATTATTGCGCTGATTTAATTGTGCGCATTATTACGATGCGAAAAAATGTGTGCTGTTCAAATATCTTCAATTAATTAATTTCAAATGTTATTTCTTCGGGCAAATGTTCGCAAGTGATTGTTTCACATTTTGTGTGTATATTTTTTAATTTTCTTTCTCTTCTTTCTTGGGATCGAATTGTTTTTTTTTTTTTTTATTTCCTTTCTATTGTGTGTCCAGTTGGGGCGCGCATGTATCGGTGTAACGTTGGGCGCGTATGCAACATCACACGTTGTTGTCTGTTTTGTATGGGTGATGTATTCGAAGCTCGCGATCGTCGTTACCGCCGCCAGAAACTTTGAATTCGAATGAATATAACAATGGATTCCATATTGTCAATTTTACTGCATCAGATCACCAGTCAAGCGCTAAAGGTATATATTGTTAAATAGACGCGAGAAGCGCATACGTTACATGCGCGTGCAACACAGACACACAGACACACTGCAGCGGGCCAGATACGTTTTACATGTATGTTGTTACAATGCAAGAAAATTCTCTGACTCTTTGGGCAATATGTAGAAACGATATCCGACTTGGGTACAAAACCGATCGGAACAGAGTGAAACGAGTAGATAGAGAAGGAAAAAAAAAAGAAAAACGACAACGGTGCGCAAGTGAGGAACTGAAACTGCAACATCAAAACTTATGTTGTGTATCAAAATTGACGCATAAACAATGAGATCTCTCAAGTTACACGGTACGAATCACATTGGAATTGGAAACAAAAAGTAACCAACAAATGCTATTGCTTATGAGATAATACTCGCGGTTTATGGTGTTGTTACTACTACTGATGCTGCCGTTGTTGTTGTTGTTGTCATTATTATTGTTCGATGCAACCGAATCGATTCACTGTCGTGCTATACGGAAGGCGCAAAGATCGCAAATCTCAAATTCCCTCAACTACAAATGAATATTCCTGCAGAAACGTCAATATTACTCATACACCGCAAATTATTGAACCAAATCATTAATTTGATGTCTTTTCATTCAATATTTGACATTTTTATTAGATATACACTTCGAATTTCAATTTCCGAAGAATTGATATTTCTTGCTCTCTCTCTCTCTCTCTCTTCTTTATCTTCCTCTGTCGCTTCTGTCTCTCTTTCTCTTCTCGACAATTTGATTTCATAAGCACACAATTTTGCACCTACGACAAATGTACATAAATGAATAAACAGACAGACACATTCCGCGCGTTCGATCAACTCTCGGTCTCTCAATTTCATCAATCGATTCGATTGATTTTACAATTATGGCAATCTCGTTTCTCTTTCGATAATAACTTTATGACATTCTCGAAACCGAACAATTCTTTTTTTTAAAAAACAATTCGTTGGCAGTGAATTGATCGATTTGGTTGAAATTCTCCCAGTTTTGAGTCAAAACAGATTGTTCGCGACTAAAGATTGTAATTAAAATAATAAATCTAAATTTATTCACTCACCGTTTGGTACTGGAACCGTTTCTCAAGAAAACAAAAAATGTGTGTGTCTCTCTTAACAGCCCCTTATATCAGTAGCAAAAAAAAAATCTTTTGTTTGTTCTTCTTCTTTTTTTGCTCGGTGTATTTTTCTTCTTTTTTATTCTCTCTTCTTATGGTTCTGGCTGACTATATTTCTGTTGTTATTTTGCTCCATACCAAAAAAAAAGTTGGCGTTTTTTCAAGGTCTGCGAGCGCGCGCGCTTACTCTATTCGCTTCTATACGCATCAAATTCTAATGACACGATGACATAAGAAATTCTCATACAAACACATCAAAATTATAATTTCGAAATAACAAATCAAATATTTGAATTGATTACTGTTTCCTTTCTTTGTTTTGTTCAAAAGTCATTTGAACTTCGAAAAAAATACCTCCGAAAAACGATTCCGAATAAATTGTATGGCCGAGATGGTAAACACACTGTTTATGTTATGTTTGTGTTTTTGTTTCGGACCGATGAATATTTTCATGTGATAATAAAATTTATGATCGGTAAATGTTATTCAACGAAAGGCAAAAAAGAACAGCCCGACAAGAAATCCGTTCGTTCTTTTTAGCATTCATTTGCATTTGGTTGTTAAAATTTCTTGAATAAAATGTTTGACTGCAAAGAATCCATTTTCCGTTTTCGAATAAATGAAATAAACAACGACTTTAACGCACATGCACTTTAAGGTATATTTTTCCTTCTTTCGTTTCACACTTTGAATCGCCGAAATAAAAACACACCGAATCTTCGTTTTTTTTTCTCCTTTGATTAAACACACTACGAACGATGGGATGACGATGACTGCTGGTTTCGGTGCATTTCAAAAAGGACAACTATGGTTATATCGGGTGAGACTTGTTATGCGTTTATTACTCACTGATATATTCAATATGGTGACTTTGATTCGTTTTTATTTTTCTGCGTTTGTTTTTTTTTTGTTTTTATTAATTCCTGTATTGTCTTTTTTTATCAAGTTTTTCTAGATCCGCTTAGTGCAGTTGTTTACCAAAATGTTTGGCTCTCACCGTGTGTCGCTGCTGCGCGAATCAAAGAAACGACAACAACAAATAAGAAACCAACACCACAACGTCGAACGAAAAACAAAAAAAAATGTTGTAGCGATCGATCTGGTGAACGTCTCACAGCAAACTGAGAAAATGATCAGGTAAGAAAAATTGAATAAGGTCTCCATGTGTTCGATCGTGGTCGGTCGCGTTTGCATTGCCGTTGTCTTGGTGTTATTTATGTGTAGGTATTTGTGTTAAGTGTACACAAGTCGCGAACGTTGTTCGTTTCATTTGAATCGCTAAGGCGTTGAGTACACAAGCGTGTATGGATGAAGAAAACGGTTGATCATTGATCGAATCGATGTATGTGTGTTGTCAGGTATACACACAGGTATTTTTGATGCGGGCGAACACATATTCATTCATCATCTCGAATACATGGACGCATCGTCGCGACCGATCATACGATGACTTTGTGCAGCATAGTTGTACGTTTTGTGTATGTGTAAGTGTGTGTTGGCGAACATTTGATCGCGCACGATTCTCTGCTTTCGTGTAATATGATTCGTGCATTTTATAATATCGTATTATATCATTTCGGCTTATAACATGAATACCTTGAGTTGGAATTTTGTGGTTGATCTTGAGTAAAATAGCAAATATGGTGGCAACACTCATATATATACAGACACAGACACACACGATACGTTTATATGCAGTATAAAATGTATGCGACTGTATGATTCTCTGTGCTATATGTAGATGTTACTGCTAAATAGAAACACGATGATTCTCGTCTTTTCAGTCTTTCCTTTCCGTTAATCAGTCTAATGCAAATGCTGTGAAATTAATCATTCTTTTTTTCGTTTCATGTATTCATACTGTTCAGCCCGACAAGCATTGCATATATCTAATGCTCAATGGCGCGAGAGTCACTACATCTTGTGGTGAAGCATCGCGTGCAAACGACTCTTAAAAGAATATTGTATTTTTATTTTCATATAATTTTTTTCATTTCGGTTTTAAATCAATTGAACAAACATAAAACAGATCACGATTCGGTTTTTGCGAATGACAAGCAATGCACGCACACCATTATCTTGCCAATTAATTTGCGGCGCGTTTATTAATTACACGTTATTCATCATTTGATTGGGTTAGATTGAAAAAAAAGCAGAGAAAATACATGATTTTTTTTTTTAAATAATTCATTCAGAAGAGAGAATTTTGAAAAGCATATGGACACTTTGGCTGACTTTACTCCGATAACTGTGACTTTTCTTAACTGAAAACTGTTCGTAAATTTGACTCTTCGACGAAATTTTCGAGAAACTTTATTTTTATTTAAAATAATTTGAACGAATAATAAAAATTGGGATTTTTCCGTGATGTCCATCAATAATTAAAAAAAAATCCATTAAAACTCAATTTAAGCAGTTAAAATTAACATCGACTTCAAGCAATTCATTTTACTCAACGTCGGACAATAAAACAGTGACAGAGATATTTTCGGACGGACGAGAATACCTGCTACTATTTATATTAGAATGAAAGAGATTCCAAGACAAAAAAAATTGAGACTCACATTTTTCACGTTAATCTCTCCTCTTTTGATCTCATCTGGCTGAAAATAAGTCATTGTAAATTGAGTACGTTCAACTTCTCACCTATGTTTCTATTCTGTTTAAAGAAAGTTGATAGCCGTTACAAAATTCTGTATAAAATGTGACTTTGTCATTCGAATTCATGGTAAAATTAAAGAAGTTTGATTTTGAAAATATAAATCAGCGAGGGAGTCAATTTTGGTTTGGTAATATATTTTTTTATTCGAATAAGTACAAAAATGAGTAATATAATCCACGCATTGTAAAAAAGCGACCTTGGTCCCTTTTTCAACTGAAATACCTTAACACTAATACAAATTAATTTGATTTTCTTATAATGAATTTAAAGCGAATGCAGAACGCAAAATTATTCGATTTGATCGTTTAAGAAGAGCGAAGCGTGCTTTATTACACAAATGGGAAAATAATATTATCTAATGTCCGTAAGTAAATACATTTTATAAACACTTTCAGATCGATGTTGATTTTTTTCTCTTTTTTTGTGTTAAAAACAAAACAAATCGACAAAAAAATCGTTTTGAATTTCTTTTTTAATTTCAGTATATTTGAAGTACATAATGGCATGTTTTATGTGTTCTGGCTTGTGATTTTATGCATTTTGAAAAGAGCAAAAAAAAGCAAGTGTAAACCGCCAATTTGTAATTAGTATGCTGACAGATTGGTATTTACAATTCAAGGAGAAAACGTACAGTCTTTAACCAAATAATCAAATGCACGATTCAACGTTCATCGCCGTTCAAAATCACCTGATTCAATTCGTGCGGTTGGTGATGTTGATTGAAATATGTGGGTGCTGTTGTTTTTAATTTGAATATTTTTCAGATCAAATATTTGCCATCATTCTCTATGCATTTTCATTTGGCATATGCCCGATATTAACAAATATTACACACACGTTAAAGGCTAGCGAAAACAAAAAAAAAAACACCATTAAAATTGTGTAACAGTCGCCGTTTTCAGCGCAAAAATGAAATGCAATATAAAAATTAGCATCACGCACTGGAAATGTCAATTTACAAACGAGAGATGAATTTAAGCACACACAAAAATATAAATATATATATGGTGATTTCGTCATAATTATTTGCCAAAAAGAAAGTGTCTGTTTATTTATTGGCGTCTGAGTTATTCCAGTCCAAAATTTTAAGAAATTCACTCTCCGACATTTGAATGCATTTTGCTTGGGTAAGGCAGACATTTTGTTGCTTCAAATTGCCAATGAGTAACATATGCTTTTTGAGTGCGGCAATGAGATCGTTGCGTTGCTTTTGATTGATTTTCAATTGATTCTCATAGAATGTGCGTTCGTGTTGCAATGACGATTGCAAATCTTTTTCGCCATTTTTAATAACACGATAATTTTTACGCAAACACTCCAAATCGTCGAGACTTTTGCTCAGTCGTAGTTCAAGTGAAGCATTCGCCTGGTGTGCCATCTTTAATTTTGATTTCAGGTCGTCACACTCTTTTCGATGCGACTGTTGTATTGAGTCATTTTCCTTAAAAATCAAATCATTATTTTCGTTATTGAATGAAAGCGATTTAAAGAGCCTACTAATATTGTCAACAACCGATTGATTCAAGGTCTAATTGGCTCACCTTCAACTTTAGCGTAATGTTCATCTCGTTTTGTTGCAATTTTTGAATTTGCGCATTCAACGCGTTGATTGTATTGTTTGCATGACATCGCGACGCCTCGGTTTTCTTTTGCAGTTCAATGGCTTTTGCCAAATTATCCAAATTTTTGGTATTCTCCTGATGACTCAAGTCTAGTTCTTGCTGTAATATTGTTACTTTTGCTTTGAGAAATCTATGGAACAATCGAAAGAGAAAACAAATAATTCACAAAAAAATCTATTTCATTTGGCAGTCGGCAAGTGCACCCAGTACACCCAAGAATTAAATCATCCATGTATTTATAGAAAAATTTATAAATTTTTGAATGATATTGAAAAGGATAAGGGCGTCTGTCCAAAACTTACTTAATAATCCCTTCGGCGCTGGCATTTTTTCGAAAAATATTTGCCGGAATCAAACTTAATTGTGTGGCGTTTGTCGATGGTTTTGTATCAATTGCCTTTTCAATTGTTTCAATCAATGTATCACACAATTTATCGCTGTTAACGGTTTGATCATCAATTTCATATTTATTATTGTCGGCGGTCGTTTGTTTCATTGGTTCGTTGCATGATTTTTGCACGTCATCAATATTTGTGTTATTGTTTCGATTAAAGGCGGTGTCCTTCGGATCAAGTTCAGGTTTTTCACACAATAATTTTTCGGTCGAGTAGGTGTTCGAAACTGATTTTTTGACATCACAGCTGTCATTTTTTAATTTATTTGCTTCTTTTGTTCCATTTTTCGATGGTTGTTGTTGCTGTTGATTGACATCAACGCTGCGAAGTGTCGCCGCTTTATTTGCGATGAATTTTTTCGCTTTGTTATTATTTGATTTCAAACTAATCGCTTTTGGTGTTTTCAGATCAAATGACATTTTACTATTCAGCGATTCATTTAATTTCATCAATTCTTTTTCACGTTCTAAAAACGGATCTGACATTTTGTCCACAGTTATTACTTTTCAAACACACAAAGACGATATAAAAACACACCTTCTGATTGAAATGGCAAATGTTGAAAAAACAACAACAACAACATGTTACTGAATAATTGAAGAATAAAGAGTGAAAGCCGGTGTTCGACACAGATGTTTCAAGTGCATGGAGTCCATTTGTAAACAAAGCGCAGCAGAGAATAGTTGCGTTACAATCGCATGGCAACCAATTTGTTTGGCGGTTTCTATGGCAAAATTTGGAAACTTTGTATATGCCCATTTCACTTGTAGACTGCTTTCTTGGTGTTATTTCGTTGATTTCAGTTTGAAAGAAAGGAAGAAAGAAAAAAAACCACAAACATTTGCAATCGTCCATATCATGTTGTCAACTAATTATTATTTATTTATTTTTCTATATGCATAAAACTACAATTTATTTTGATATTTTAACATTTGCGATAAGACCGCGAATAAAATGCCGCTTATTGAAAAGAGTTTTTTTTGCAACCGAAAATTTGCCGTATGTGTTAACCTGATGGTAAATTGTGGAAAACATTTAATTTTATGGCCCCGAAAAACATGTGCCACGCCATTTCATTACCTAGTTGAAAGTCAATGGAAAAAATATTATAAGAACACTTTTTTTTGTTCAAAAATGGCATAGAATATATTTTAAGGCAAAGTAACTGTCGCCCACGACACACATTCAAGTGGAATGAAAGCGAAAAGCAAAAAAACATGTGACGTGAAAAAGAGATACAGAGAAAACAATTGACAATGTTTTACTTTGTTTTGATGCGAGGGTAAGAATATAAATGTATCAACCACTTTACCGCCATTAGGTTTTCGTGTTTCGGTTTCACCAATTTGGTGCCTCTTTTCAGACGTCTAAATAAATAATATTCAACGTACGCCTCACTCACCTTTGAAATGTATTCATTTGCCATAGACTAATGTATACATGTTTGTTCTTGTGACGGCAACGTTTGCTGTGTGTACTTTTGCATCGACTACCCCCCTTTCTCCGCACTCGATAGACACAATTCAATCAGCTTCGAATCATTTAATGGCATTTCCGGCTCATTTAGAAATTATTTATTCAAATGGATTCCATTACTTTGTATAAACAAAATTCGAGCATTAATCGGCCTCTTAACGATTCATTCCTTTCTCGGAAGATATTTTGTCATTAAGTCCTTTTTTCGCATTTGTATTATGCTGCGAAATATTGCTAATCCATCTGGAGGAATCGATTCGACTTAAGTTTTCAAGATGCTTCTTCATGCTTTTTTAGCATTGCGTTTCACTTCAGCTTCGCGTGCTCTCGCTTTTTTCTCTTTCAAAATCATTCATTTGCGATGGAAAATTCCAATGTTTGCTGATATTACCTCCTGAATTTGGTTTATCAATTTTGAGTTTGTGCAGTAAACAAACAGTGTTATGAGTTCAAACTATTCGCTTTGACGCAAAAGTCACGGGAAAAAAGAGCTCAAAACACAAAATTTATACTAAAATCCAAACAATTCGATGAGAATAAAAGTGGGAACGACCGATTTCGTAAATATGTTTCTAGTAATACCTTAATAAAAAAAAACGAGATCTTATCTAAATCGTAAACTTCATTGAAGTCACTTTTGGAATGTCCCTTATCAGTAAGTTCTTAATAAGAACGTCGAAAGCGTGTTTCGGTTAGGCCCAATTTCATTTTGAGCCACTCAATACCCGAAATTCTAAATATATGCACGAACGTCATGTGTAACTTATTATCGATCATGCGATACACATGCAGGGCCAAAAATATGGTCTCATGTGTAAATGGCCAAAACCAGAGTTTTTCGTTTTTTTTTTTTTGGCGAGATATTGAAATCAAATGTTGAAATAAACGGCACATTTTTGATGATTTATCACAGTCAGTTGCATGAGTTGCTGTTATTATCCAAATAAAGTGTACGAGAATAAGAAGAAGAAGAACAAAATTCGGACACAAAGAACAAATCGCATGCGAAAAACATTCCAAACAACTCATATTAAATTAAATTAACACACATACACCGGTTGTATTCAATTTACATGAGACTTCATGTATTTCAATATACGCAATAACAAAACGGAACAAGTTACAAAAATAGCATTTTCATTTCATTAAAGTTAACTATTTACATATATGCAGACTGTCACGAAAAAGTTTAGCAAAAAAAAAGACATAAGAGTCGGCCCACTTTAGCGGGTGCATGATGTATCGGGAGCGGTTGAGTGATGATGGTGGCTCCGTTGAAATGAGGCAATTTTCTAGTCTTAATGTTTGTGGTTGAAAAACCATTTCCGACGATAGTAAAAAAAACGAATATCTCATGGCCGAAATGAATCACAGCACACAGAGACGGAATTTTTGTAATTTATACATATATAAAAAAATGTTTAACAATAAATTAAGGTAATTATATTTGGCGATAACATACATATGACATCTGCATGGAATGATGCTAACGGAGTTTTCCATTGACCCTGATTGTGTGCCGTTTTTGGTGCCAACAACAGAACCATAACGGTAGCCCGACGTAGTAACTGAATGCTGAAAATATTCCTCCTTTTATTGACGCCGTTGCTCCGGAACTTTTTTTTACTCAGTTCAAAATGTAATTGAATTTTTCAGCCTTATACAACAAGTGAATGGTCCGAAAAGCGGAAATTCTCGTTTCAATGGAAAAAACACACATTTTTATTCGCCGTTGATTTTCATGTCCGAGCAATATTAATAGCTATATTTGGTGTCCATAACGCAATTACGCGATAAATTGGTTTTGCTTGGTTGTCCCACGTGGGAAAATCGTATTGTCTTCACTATTGCCATGTGCTCGCTCGCTGTCTGTATCCCTGCCTTCTCTCTCTCCCTCTCTCTCTCCCTCTCTCTCTCTCTCTAGTAAAAGCCATCGGGTCTCAATTTTTCCTACATTTTTTTCTCTTTCATGCTGAAAATGCACTTATTACTGCAAACGAATTGAATTTCCAAGTAAATTACGAATTATAGCATCTTAATTACAACAGGGAATCTCATGAACCCGGAGCATCAAAGTGTTTCTACTTTTTTTTGCTCGTCGTCATGACGGTATTTTTCTAACGGTAAAATCGATTTCTTTTTGAATCGGGTTCTATCTCTCTCCCTTTTGTCTTGTTTCAAGCATCCGGATTTATTTGACGTCGTTTTCGGCTTTTCCATTTGACATGTATGCCAAGGATTCGATGAAGCACAGTGTACATTCAATGGCCATCGCGCATCCACCACTCCGAAGCACATTGTTTGCTGCATGCAAAAAAGAAAAAAAAATGTAACCGAATTGAATTATCTGAGACAATTTGCTGGAAGAGAATGCTTAAGTGGTGTGTGGCTCATCAAGCACATGCCATTTTCATCTAAGATGGGCTTTTACGCATAATAGATTTTCACTGACTTGATGTCAGCCATCAAAACGTATAAATAGTGCATCGATGATAGCACTTTCGATCAGTTTCGATTGTTACGTTCTCGAGAATACATTGTGCACATCTTATTTTAGTTTTTCAGCAGCAATAAAAAGAAACCGTTGAACAAATTTTTGTTAAAATATCCAGTGAATAATTTGAGTTGATTACAACACAGTTCGCTGTTTGTTTGAAGTACAATTTTTTTGGTTTAGTACATTTGCATTCGTTTCGTGTTTAATACTTCATTTAGAAGAGGAAAAAAGGAATAAAAAACAACAAAAATGATATTCGCAACACGATCAGTCACTTCAATGGTGATTTTGATGACCGTTTGCATTTTGTTGACGGTCACTCACATCACAGAAGCCGGATACCGTAAACCACCATTCAACGGCAGCATTTTTGGAAAACGTGCAGGCAGCAACATTGGTAGCATTTTTAGCAAGAATTTTTCTGATATCTTTTTAAATGACGAAATTCAATGAATTTCAATGTTGACTGGATTGAATTTTTTTTTAGATTCTTAGACACTTTGAATACTTGCATATCGTGATAATTACTAAAAAGAGAATGATATTAGTTTCACAAATACCAAAGCCATTTCATTTTTTCATCGGAAGCTTGTTAAAAAATAATAATAAAATAAATTGGAGATCATTTGACGGCCTAAGAAGAAAACAATAACATGCAGAATATTCTGCAAAAAGACGAATACAAATTTATGTGAGCAAAAACCAAATATACAAACAGACAGCGCAAAGGTAAAACAGCCTACTTACAT